GAGAATAAAATTGCAAACCCCGAGAGTACCCTGACAGTACCCAAGGATAGGATTCATATTTTCAATTTTTCTGCAACTTTTTTCAATGTTTTATGAAAGTTTTAGAAAAAAAAATCCTAAGAATCTGGTGCTTTTCGAGAAAAGTTTTTAAAAAATGGCAAAAAACGGTCAAAATCTCAGAACTTGTTTTAAACTAAAATGGACAAAACTTCAAAACAACTGGGTTTCAGATCTTCGTAAACTAAACCCTAAAATGGCCGACAGCATACAATTGCACTTTCCGCATTAGAAAAAAATGGTAGCGACTTCAATAGCAAATTCATAAATGGGATTCATAATCCAGCGTAATAAATTTTAAAAATCATTCTTTCTTCTTAAGTTAATTGAAACTTGAAAAAAGGCATTGAGCAGTCATAATTGGAGTCCAGACAAACAACCTGGAGTACATTTGAGAGTACCCCGCCATGATGTTGAGTATTTCGAATTTTGAAATATTTTTATTTTAATTCAAGTTTTTTGAAAAACCGAAAATTATTGAAAAAACGTCACATCTCGAAAAGCAAAAGCATTTGAGCAGTCAACTTCGGAGGAAAGATTTGCAACCCCTCAGATTACCTCGTCCGCACCTGATTACAGGGTTGGCTACTACAGATTTTGTGAACTTTTTTTTAAAACTGAATTTTCTGAAAAAGGTCATTTCGGAACATTAGAATTAATTCGCCATATTTGGATGCAAAATTTGTAACGCCTGAGCACCTTTTTATTAAGTTATTATATCTAACTTATTTGAAAATATTTAAGAAAATCTTTCAAAAATTCGTATCTTAGAAACCCAAAGGATTTTAGCAGTTAAATTTTGAGGCAAGATTTGCAACCCCTGAGAGTACCCTGACAGCGCCCAGTTACAGGGTTGAGAATTTCAACTTTCAAGTTTTAATATATTTCAAGTTTTAATATACCATTTCTTTGACAAAACTTTTGAAAAAAAATCATGAAAAAAACGTCAAATCTTGGCAAATAGAACTTGACCAGTCATTTTTGGAAGCACAATTTGCAACGCCTGAAAAAACCCTGACAGCAAGTCGCTCCATAAAACTGAAAACTTCAATTTTTGTCAAGTTTTTATATAAGCTCCATGAAAATTTTTGAAAAAATCATTAAAAAAACATCATACCTTGAAAACTGAAAAGATTTAAGCAGTCAGATGTTGAGAAAAAAATTGCAAACCCCGAGAGTACCCTGACAGTACCCAAGGACAGGATTCATATTATCAATTTTTCTGCAATTTTTTTCAATGTTTTATGAAAGTTTTAGAAAAAAAATCATAAGAATCTGGTGCTTTTCGAAAAAAGTTTTTAAAAAATGGCAAAAAACGGTCAAATCTCAGAACTTGTTTTAAGCAGGGAATCTTCCCACAACCTGTTCCACTCATTGAAACAAACCTCAGATTTGGGAGGGCATGTTTCAAGAAAATCAAATTTTCGTTTCCGAACCGTAAAAAAATAGTTTCCGAGAGCCGTAAATTTTGGATAAAAAAATTTTGCCGTAGCCGCTTACGCAGAAAAGCTTACCACAACCCTTCCGTTTGATTGAAATCAAAAACTCAGATTCGGGAGGTAGTTTTCAAAAAATTAAGAAAGCTTCAACAAACGGTCGAAAAATCGAAACCTAGATTTTTATGAGGGCGATCACTTTTCGTATGAAAACATTTTGGCGTAACTGCATATGCAGGAGAGCCTCCTACAACCTGATCCACTCATTGAAACCAAAACCTCGAATTTGGGAGGGTAGTTTTCAAGAAAGTCAAATTTTCAAACAATGGTAAAAAAAATCGAAAAATTGATTTTTCCGAGGGTCCTGACTCTATGTGTAGGAAAATTTGGCCGTAACTGCTTATGCAGGGGAGGGCAGCGGGGCTTCCCAACACTTGTTCTACCCATTTGAATCAAAATCTCAGATTTGGGAGTGTACTTTTGCAGGGGAGCTTCACACAAGATTTAACCTGTTGCATAACCTGAACACAAAATCTTAGCGTTGGGAGGATACTTTTCGAGAAAATGTAAAAAATCCAAAAATATGGGTAAAAATTCCTCCCACACACTTTTTCGAAGGCTGTAGAATGTCCGGTAAGATAAAAAGAGACAAGGGAATTATGCAGACACACAGGTTTGTAGGTGGTCTTCCCATTGGTACCACTTTGAAAAAATAGAAGATTTTTGAAAATCGGCTGAGTAGTTTTCGAGAAAATTTAAAATTTTTGCCTAAGCGTCTCAAAAAATATAATCAAAATAAAAAAAACCGATCCCACACATTTTCATAATACCTGTTTTGATCAAACAGGAAATTCTGACTCACAAACATTTCATTAAAAAAACAGAAAAAGGGCTGAAAAGTCAGAAGTGAATGATAAGAGGCGAAGTTGCGCAAAGCATACCAGCTGAAAAACAAAAATTAAGTAGCAGATGAATGTAAAGCTTTTACAGCTTTTTTAACTTTCGAAGAAAAACCTATCGCCTGAAAACTATATCAGCGGATATTTTAGACAGCGATATTGCTAATGGCTATGCAAACTACCAAATGAAAACTACACGGCCTAAAAAAATTGAAAACAAAAAAAAACAAAGGTAAGACTTCGGTTGGAAAACAAGTCAAATTTAGTGTCCAAATCAACAAAACTTTACCCTCACATTTTCAATGTAATGCAAAACAACTGAAAGCTGCCTCTAAACTCAAATGAAATCAATAAAACTCACGATTTAATCAATTTAGGCAAAATCGAGTAAAGTTTTAAATAGTCAAATTGGAAATACAGGATTCCGCGAAAAAAATATCACAAAGACAGGGAATATACCGTGGGTCAAATGATTTGAAAAACACTTGTCTCAAGAAATAACTTGACAAAGGGAAATAAGGCAGGATGCTGAACACCTGATAACTGAAAGTGAACTTATGACGCGGAAAGATATGTAGACACGACGGCATTGCGAAGCTTCGCATCATTTGCGATACGCGAAGAGGAATATTTATCACAAACTGCAAATTCATTAGGAAATAGTTCAAGGCATAACAAAGTTCTTTTTAATTTTCTCTACCTTCATATGAAATTGCGAAATGAAAAAATCCAGGCAATCTAAATTCACAAAATCCAGAGAAAATCGGAATAGTAATTATAATGAACTCATTACTATAATAATTTCAAAAACGAATTTAGATATAAATTAATATGAATGTATTCAAGTATTACATAAAGTTATATGCACCGCGCTATAATCAAAATGATTGGGCGACAAATTTCTCCAACACATTACAAAATAAGAACATCAGTTCGTCCTGAATTTCTGGGCAAAGAGAAATCCCATGCATAGGAAACAAAACAACAAAGTCAGTCAAAGGCCCTTCAAAAAGGTGGTAAAAAGATCAAATTAAAATAAGAAAATGGTTTAGACAAGTACAAGGCAGTAGCATCAAGATCAGCAGTATAACCACTGCCAGATCCAGAAAAAAAACGGAACCAATTAAATTAATCAGCGAGGGATTTCGTTCAACGAATTGTTCCCAGGAACAAAGTCTAATGTACAATTTGTAACACGCCCGCCAAAAACCCGAACTCGAAAAGCCCTCCAAAACAGACAAATTCATATTGAAAAATTAAGCCTCCCAAAAACTTACCTCAACATAGAGACGAAGCAGAGCTCAGCATCATGTGCGTAGAACGCAAGCGTAGTATTGCAAGCTGGCGAATAAAAAACGACACCGAAGTGACCGTCGAAAAAAGTCGAGAAACATAACCGCTAGCATTAAATATGCTTTTTGTGTTTACCGAGGGGCCACTAAGCCGACAATACATAAGCAGACGCCCATTAAGACGAAAATAAATTGCCATGAAAACTTTTTGAGCGACTTTGAGACTTCAAAACACAATCGACCAGAATGGTGGTTAAAATAGATCAATTTCGCCCATCAAGAGACAAAAATTAGTTGAATAATCCAATAAAGTTTAAGCCGAAATTATTTAGGTAGAATGAAACTTTTAAGCTAAAAAAAGTAAAGGAAACTATACTAAGTCGGGGCTGGTAAATTTTCAAACTACAGGAGCAAATCATCAACAATACTTGTAACTACAATAAAAAATGCAAGAAAAATAATTGATGTGGCAACTAAGCCGAGAAAACATTAGCAGGCAAACGAAAGTCCGACAAAACAATTTCTCCCAGAAAAAAATCTATTTCATACATACTGAAAAAAACAAGGCCTGACTGAGATTCAAACTCCAGACTTTTGGGTACACAGCTAACCGCGTTACCTGTAGACCGAAGCGGAAGGATTCTGGAAGCGACGGTTCAGTGATAAAGAAAGTTCATTCACTCACAGATTTGTCAGAGAGTTGTTTACAGGAAAAAAAGTCTAGTTCCTGATTACGAGCACTTGCTCTCATAAGAGAGATCAAGATAATTTCCCACAAAAAGAAAAAACTTTGCAGCATTTACGGACAAATTTTACGAAGAAAGAAACAGCATTTTGTTGACAAAAGTCACCTCATTCGAAACAGAGCAAGTTACAGTTTAAAATCTTCCTGCATGTTAATATAGCCTAACTTAAACCAAAAAATACGGTTATTCTACCGAATAATCCTAATTGATCCTTTAAATTGATCGTTAATGACTCAATGACGAATCGCACACACTTATAGCTTCAGACTCAAAGACTTCGCTTCTTCAGCCAGATTTGGCCCATTGTATAATCAAACTCTCCTATTGCCATAAACTTTTATTGCTTTATCCTTTGGAAGACGTGTCATTACTTTTAACGCCATCTTAAAACAGTAGTGGTCTATTTTTTGAAACAGAAGCGAAGGTGTACTTCGCATACACAAGTTAAGAAAGGCAAAAATACCAACATGCCTTGAAAGAAAATAAACCTTGAAAAAAGTTTAACAAATCCTAACATTCTGCAAACGAGAAGATTAGATGCCCTAAAAGGTAGTTTCTAAGGAGGCTTACCTTCTTCGTCGCTCGCTGCTCCTTTGCTATCCTTATTTGCCGATCCCTTCACCTTGCCTACTCCACTCTTAGGCCTCACTGCACACGATGTATCAACAGCCGAGCTCGCTTTACTCCCACTCGAGTATGTCGAGGCATCGTCATCGGGACTCGAACCTCCGCTCACCGGATTTGAACCAACCGACCCTCCTGAACCGTCACTTGGATCCGACGCTGTACTTAAACTCCCAGCTAATCGTTGTTTACTCGCTAAATTATCTAAGCCATCTACTTCAGCGTTTCTCACCGAGTGACAAGAATTACAAGACGTCGATGAACTGCTGCCGTTATTCACTGCTGCTTTCAACGGTGCTTCGTAATAAACAGGCTGATTAGAAGTGGACATTCCGTTATGACAAACTAATTCTGGTACTCTTGACGCTGCTATACTACCGTCTGGATTTGTTTTCTCTATTGCAGATCTATTATTAGCCTGGTAGTGTTGCTGTTGTTGTGAACATAAATTAGAGGTATTTATCTGTCCACTAATGTGCTCATTAGCCCGTGTCAGGTTGTTTGGATTCACTTGGAAAGAATGTACAAGTTCTCTGTGCTGGTTTGGAATGTGGGCTTGGTAATATATCAAATTTTGCTGTGAGCTGCGACCAGGGTTAGAGGTTGAATTCGGGGTGCCATTATTACTACTATATGGTATCATCGTGTCTATTTCAGGGTTAAAAGCGTGACTATTAGACGCCTCGTAAATGGAATTGTTTGAGGTTAATGCGTGATGGTATTTGGGCGCTGCTTCTTGATTTCTGTTTGAAGAAGGGTGGGTCGGACAACTAGGGGCAACTTGAGACAGATTTGAGAAGGGCCCCCCTCTAGGCACAAATTGGGACACATTATTTTCAGCTCTATAATTTTGCCCGTGACAATTGCACGGAACTACGTGATCGAGATTTTTGAAGGAAGGCGAAAATTGATTCACTTGATAGTCAGAATTGACACCATGGTATAGTCTACCAGTGGCATTTTCTAAGTGGGTAATATTTGTTGCCGTGTCTGCATAGTTAGAAAATGACGGCGGCTCTCTTTGACAGGTCTCATAATTACGTGTATTGTGTACTGAGGAGACTAAATTAGCAGATGTACCACCACATACTTTATGATTAGCCGCAGGAGTAATACTCGGTTTTTCATCTGTATTGTAGTTTAAATTGTGACAGTTGGACAAAGGTACAGAACAAGTGGGAAATTGATTGGAAGTGGGAATAGAGTTTTCAAGTAACACACTGTGATGGATTGTATTGCATTTAGTGAAGGTGGTTGCTAGTACATTACAAGGGCCGTCATAAACACTTTCTTCTCTTTTTCCGTTTACATTACCACACGATGCATCTTCGGTGGTGTGCATTGCAGCATTTGCAACATATGATGCAGATACGGTGGCCTGGTTTAATGCGGGGCCAGTAGGTCGTATGTAATTTCCAAGTCGCTGCCGGGTTGCTAAATGAGGAACTTGTTGGTTCGTTTCTACACAATAGCAAGCCTGTTTGCCTTGATACTGGTCGATTTCAGCTTCTTTGCTGTGGTTTCTATCGTCACTGGTTGAAAACTCTAAACAAAAAATTACTAATTGACTAGAGAAAAAACGCACCAACGCATTGAGTCTGTCTCTATGTGTGTGCTTCCCTGGTTGAAAGCCAACCAAATTTAAAGTTAAAAATCTTATGAAAATAAGCGCGAAAACCCGAAAATTTAAATGACATTGATTGCTTAGAAACCTTCTTCCATTTGAAACGTCTGCCATGAAAATGATTCCTTTAATGAGTCATCCAATAATCAAGGACAGATTAAGAGCGCAGGGTATAAGCCGGGATTTAGAGCTAATACAGCGACTGACATACATACACCACCGGAATTTATTCGCATCATTGCCCAAGGGTGCAGAAAGTAATAAACTCTGAACTTGGATGTACTCTTTTGAACAATTTGTGTATTGTATTCTGAATTTCAAAACAGCCAGGTTGCCTGCTAAGCAAAAGTTGTCGCTGCCTAACTCAATTACAAAAAATTCACCAATCAACACTTCATAAAATTAGCCCAATTAAAGAACAGGATCAATAGGTAATTTTTTAAATTCATTCAAGTTCTGAAAAAAAATCCATTCGAAATATTAGTCGTTCCCATTTTTTGCGCCAATTTTACTTTTGTTACTTAGAATTTTACTTTTTTCCCTTGCGCAAATGAACTTGGATTGAATGCAATAAAAAATAAGTCAAAATTAGAAAAATTAACTTTGAGCGTGACTGAGACTTTTTGATGAAAAAAAGTCAACACGATCTATATAATTATCTTCACTATGTTTATTCCCATTTAGAATAAAAAACAAAAAAGGTATTTTAGCTGTTATGGGGTTTTTTGTAATGGAGGGTCGAGGATTAAAATTAACTTTCACATAAACACTAACAGCGAAAATAATGAAATCTTTCGAAAATCTTCCTTTGCTTTGCGGCGAAACGAGGCATTTAAATCCAGTTTTCAGAAATCACTTACAGCTATAAACATCAGCAGTAGCTGAAATAGAACAAATCTAATCTTCACTTAGTGAACAATTGAAAAGGGTCACAAAGAATTAATCGGGCCACTAAATTGATTTGAAAAGCTAAGTTTTCAATAGAGAGGCAAAGCAACACTTGCAAGTGGAAGCAACAACGGCAAAAAAGCACTGAAAACCAACAAAAAATTAAAAAAGGGAGGAACCGGAAGACAAAAGATATTGCGCCAGACAGTCTTCTCGAATACTCAGCCACTGACGTTTTACGAATTATATAGTAAACTTCACATATATCTCCGTAAAACTTGCGCAGCCTAGTTATGCACTTTTTAAAGCACGCGATATTCAATCGCCTAATTAACTTGTCCATCTTTTCCGAAACGTTTCAGTGAAGCGCGAAAAACAGCTCAAAGTGATAAGATAGTTGAGAGTGTGATGTAAAACGCTGAGTAAACCCGGTAAACAAATTTGCTAGATAAACTTAAACATAACCATATAGCAGCTTAGTCAAACTTACTCATGGAGCAAGCGCAGTTGAGCAAAATAAAGATCCAATCTGTAAGCTAACTAGAAAACCGACAAGATTAAGCTTTTCCGCATTTGGGAAAGCAAATACAATACGACAAAAAAGTAGCTCTATAAAGTGCAATAAGAAAAAGTGAAATAAGCCTCGAATTAGTAAAATGCGGCAACGTTTCAGATTCGATCTGCGACCAGGATATTATGAGTCTCACGCACTAACCACTCAGCAACGGACACTAAATGTTCTACAAACACTAGTAGCTAATAAGGTAGAGAACAGATCTATGAAACTTCCAACTACCAATAGTGATTATAGCAAAAGTACCTCCAAACAAGTGAACATTTTTATTTGCGAGTTAGATTAAAAATAAAGAAGGTTCGTACTTCTAGACTACGCTGCTCTCGAGTGTAAAGAGAGCAGGCAGGAGGCTAAATAAGGAAACAATTTTGTTTGAGCTATTTTGAGGCTTCATTTAGCGTTCCTTGGGAATATATCAGTTAAGAAAAAAATTAATAAAATCTCAAAAAATTAGAAACTTAAAGCTACATCCGCTGCATAGATATGCAGATATGTGGTTAAACATCTACTTAACTGATAATTTCGAAGCGTATAAAAGATGCTTAAGCATGGCATTATACATGTACCTCCAAATAAAATTGTAGACAAGATAAGAAATAGAGAGAAAAAACTTAAACTCTAAAGTCCGATAGTTCAAAAATCTATAGTTCTATACGCGTTGATGCTTAAAGAGCTATATTCATAGAGAAAACCTTATATTCTGGCAAGCAAACGATTAGACAACTATGGATCTATACGCGTTGATGCCTAAACAACAAGAGATAGTGTATAATTCTTGAAGGTTTAAATGTGGCTCAAACATGGCAAAAAAATATCTAACTCAATTAAACATATAGTTATTTTGATATCACACCGCTTATGAAAACTCAATGTTTTAACTGATGAATGTCAAACTGCTTATATGTTACATACAACCACGATAAAAGAAAAACAAAAACGTGACAAAGGCAAAAATACATGAGGGAAGTATAAGAAAAATAAAAACATGACAAATGCGGAGAACTTAATCCGACGACCTATAAGCCGAAAAACCAGTCCAATAATCTAAACCGGGAAAAAGTGAAATTCCATGAACATTTTTTATGATGAACTTTACAATTTTCACACAAAAACGCACTCACAGAATTGAAACTACTATTCGAACAAACATTCTGATCGGCAAAAAAATCTTCAAATTTCGAACTTCAAAATAAAACATACACGACCTAAAATCTCTAAGTTTCAAAAACATTTTATCATTGACAATTATTTAATAAAAACAACTCAATTTGAGATAACTGGATCATTAGGTAAAGTTTTTATTCCGCTGCGAATCAGAAACTTGAAATCCATTTTCGAAACTAGAACAGTCGATCGGATTTTTTGTGACTTTAACAGTTTTGCTGTTCGATAGTGGAGTTTACATTCCTTGAAACAAGTAAGGAACTTGGAAATAATCCAACTCAAACCAGGAAAGATCAAAATTGAGCGTGAACACAATTTCAGACTTTCGAGAAAAAAAACAAAAAAAATCTCTACGTACTAATACACTACGCTGTTCGCTAGTGTAAAGAATGCAGCCCGGGGTTACAGGCAAAAAGTCTATTTGAATCATTTTGAATCTTCATTTAGCGTTCTCTGGGAATATATCAGTTTAGAAAAAAAAATCCCACAAAATTAGAAATTTTAGAATACACATTCATATAACGATACCACGAACAAAGAATAGAGAATAACAAGCTAGCCGACAGAAAATAAAAGAAGAACCACAAGGTTTAAAATAATGTTCAATTTAAGATGTTAAACTTTTACTCCCTCCCCCCTTCGGAACCACACAAATGGATAAAATCTATTTTTACCTTCAAACACGGAAGATAGGGTCACTACTACAATAAAATAAACCACAATAATTGAATTCAAAGAAAGAAAGATTTTTCAGCGAAAAAACGACAAAGACAAACGACAAAAAAAAAGAAATTTTCCAAGAAAACCGCTTACAGCACGAAAAAAACTCCCTGACGTGGCAACTAAGCCGACAAAAAGCAAAATAAAAGGATGCATTTTTTTTTCGTAACGGAATATTTCCGTTTGAAAAATGAAAATAATCTGGCCAGACTCGAACCTAGGGCCTTTCCCAAGCGTGGATGTCACTTCTCGAACAAGCGTGCCGGTTAAACTAAGAACTTGGACTTAATTATGAAACAAGCTATGAAATCATTCAACAGATTTTGTACAACAAGTTGTTAACCTGGAAAAAGTCTATACTGCAATTTGCTAATCGCAGGTTTAAAATTTTTCAAGTTTTGTTGGTTTTCAATTGTTTTTTGAAATCGATTGTGATTAAGTCGATAAATTTTCAAAAAATCTATGCAAACAAACATTCTCAGAGTTGAAAAAAGTACCTGTATTATCGTGGCATGCCTGTGATAAATAATGATAATGTAAACCCAATATGGTCGTCAGTTAAGAAGCAGATTGATCAGAATTGATATTCACTTTATTTGAATAACATTCGACAATGTTCTGAGCAGACACTTTGCATTGCAAATTTCAGACATTTTACCTACCTCACGTGGAAGAGTTATTTATGCTAGATAATAGTCTTTCCACTCCACTTATTTTAAAACCTTTGAAGTTAACGTCGCTCGCTAGAAATTTAATTTCATTATTCCACTTACTAATTTCATCTTGGGATGGTACAATTTCTTTAGATGATTCATCATAGGAGCAGTTAACCAGGTTTGAAGCTCTCGATGACAACGTATAATTTAAATTCTTGTCAGCGTTGCCTGACGCTAATTGGAAAGAATTCTTAATAGAAGACTGGTTTGGGTCAATATCGTCTCCGGAATCGGGTTCTTCGACAATAAATTCTTGCTTCAGATCGCCTTCTACTCCAAGATTTGTTTCGTCATCAGAACACGGCAAACTCTCAATTTGGACTTCACAAGTTAGAGCATGTTCTAGCACACTAATGGGTTTGCTGCTGTTAGAAACAATTATGTTGGCATAGTTACCAGTCACTTCTTGTACGCTGGATGAATCACGTTCAGTTCCATTGCTCAAGTCTTCATTGGAAGTGAAGTCTGAGTTTTCAGAGATTTTCTGTTCTCTCAAATGGGGAACCGGTTTGCATGAGAGGTCTAGAGCGGAAGTTTTGCTAACAAAAGATAATGAATTTTCGCCCATTTTTATTTTCAAGCCCTACAGCTCATATCAACAAAGATTGAAACTCAGCTCATCAAAGCATTGGAATGACTAAAAAAGGCAAACAGAATAATGAAAAGGTGTTGTTGAGCTCAGCAAGCCAACACGCTCACTTGACAAAAATTTTATTAACCTGACGATAGACATAGTTCACACATTATATTATTTTTTCTTCCAAGTTGCTCAATTTACAAGGATTGAGTCAGAGCAAAATCGCATTTCCATCTGGTTCAAAACCAATCCTTGAGGACCTGATAATGCACGAAAGGCTTTTGGCTGTCATTTAAGTCGCGAATGGTTTTAGAGAAATTGTTGACGTTCCATAGAATTATTTGAGAAAACAAAAAAGCCATTTTTATTTTAATTTTTTTATTTTTAATTTTGTTCAAACAATCAAGTCGAAAGTATCACAGTAACCGAGGTTACAGTCAGGAGTCCCTTCATGACATTATCCAGTCAAAATCCTCGGAATTTTCTAGATATGGAAGAGTAAAGTATAATGTGGCTAGAAGTCAAGAGAGTCAGATGGTTGGGAATCAAGCCAACCAGATTGAGAAAACTTACACGTGCACAGAACAAACCCTAGTTGAAAGTGACTCAAAAAGACTGATCTGATCTGAGGCTACGGGTCTATCATATAATTAAACAAGACTGCTCGTATCAGGGAGAAGACCTGAATGTTCCGACTGGCTATTAAGGTTTATGGAGCAGTAATAACATTTAAAAAATTTTGAAAATAAAACAAAAAGAAAAATTTTTTTCTCTAAAATTTGAGATTTTTTATGAAAATCATCCCCCCACACGCCATATAAAGTACAAAAGGATAGATTTAGCTCCTGTAACAAATCAATTATGGCAAACAAGCTTCGTTAAACCAATTTGGAACGATTTCTAAGACGGATTTAATCTCGCTTACGCGTTAAAAGCGCGAAATACATCGCGCATTAATTGTCCCAAATTGGCCAAAATGGCAATCTTTAAACCCCCATAACTTTACGAAAGATGATCACAGGTAAAATATCTTTTCAAAATTGAGCTCAGGACATAAAAACCTTTCGAACGATATATTCCGTCAAAAATTCCGTCAAAATGGCTAGTTAAAAAGTCGAAATTTGTCTGAAGAAAAAAAAATCCAACCCGAGCACAAATATTCCGTTACTTTCGTATCGAAAGTCGGAACAATGAGGCTGCACTTTTGTTCCCTTGGCTCTATAATTAAAACATTTTTTCGAAAGTAGTTTTTATCATTATTAGTGCCGAGTACACAGGCAGCATTCGCAACCTGTATTGCGAGGTAGATTCTCTGCTTAAGGAAAAACTACAAGACCTAGTTACCTCGGTACACTTGCACAAATTCTCTGAAAAATTATTCAGAAAAATCTCAACGCTTGGACCGGCGGCACCTGTGCCAGTCGGTCATATTTGGAAGTTTGACCTTGAGAAGAGCAGAAAACACTTGATTTTGGAGTGAAATTTAAATTTTTAAAATTTCGAATGGAACATGTCATGCACGATTTTCTCGCGAGAACTGAAAATCAGAAAAAGAAAAGAGAACAATTTTAGAACAATTGCGGGAAAGTTGTCAGATAAAAACAAGTGGGAAATTGCAATTCGCAATTTCCATCATAGTGAACAAGAGTAGAGCTGTCCTATCTGAAATAGAAGACAGAGTATTCCCGAGAGAGTAATTATTCGAACTGGACCAGAGTGAACCTTCGACGGAAAGGTGGACAGCTTGAGTGTCCCAATGGTCCACATAAGACTTCGTTCTTGAGTTCAAACTTACCCTTACCATTCAAACTGATAAACATTGAACTTATCTAGTTACTTTAGTTAATTCTAGAGTTGCTCACCCATTTAATTACTTCCTGTGCTTGAGCGCATCAACATGTGAGTCCTTAATTTAAATTTCTAGAGTGTGTTTTATGATTGTTATGTTGAGGTAAGGCGAGTTTTAGGTTGATCCATCTGAAATGGATCAAAGTTACACTGTCTAATAAAAAGTAACTTAACGGATTGTTCCAACCCGGTTTTTAACGGCGTTCATGTATTTTGGGTATCTAGAGACCTAAGTATGGGGACGTTTCTAATTCTAGAGTGGGGGGATATTTTGGTAGTAGCCTTAAGCAGTAGCGGGTCGTAGTCTCATGTCACAAGCGAACCGAATTGGCTCCGACTGATTTGAGGTGGAAAAACACAAGAGATAGTGTCCCTGACTCCCGAGCCAATAGTTATAGGGCCTATTTTTCTTAAGCCTCATGTGTGACTGTAGTAGACGAATGTTACATAGTGTTTTTATGGCGCTCCTGGGTGTTTACGACATCAAGACTACGGAGTCGAACCCACTTGAGACAGCTTCGGGCTGAATGCCCATTCTAGAGTACCGGCGGTACGGTTCGACAGGAACGTGCAAACCTTCCGGTTGTACCGTGATAGCTTTTTAAGAAAACTCGAGAAAATTTCCTGGTACGCTCTCCGAACGAGGCTTAGCTAACCGAGTAAAGGGGGGCAACTAGGGGGACAAAAACACGAGCAAAAAGACAAAAAGCAAAACAAAAACCAAAAAAGAATAGAAAAAGGAACAAAAACCATAAAACGAAAAAAGACAGTGACTTTGACACCAGATTAGTTGGATCAAACCTTTATATTAATTAAATAGTATACCCATACTGTTTTACAAGTTCGATCGTTTCGATCAACCTAGCAATTTAAACCAGTAAACTGAATAAAGTGCCCGAAGTGGGGCGTTGTCAAGGGTTTTCAGATAGCTTGGAACTTAGCTGGACCAATAGGAGACTTGACTGGAAGAGGTGACCAGCCGAGTGGGAAAGTGGTTCAGGGACACTTGAGCTGAACCAATAGGAGACTTGATTGGAAGAGGTGACCAGCCGAGTGGGAAAGTGGTTCAGGGACACTTAGCTGAACCAATAGGAGACTGGACTGGAACAGGTGACCAGTCGAGTGGGAAAGCAGCCAAGAGGGATTTGGCAATTCTCGAGTTCTCAAGTTGGGCAGAACGGGTATCGTTAGAATCCACATTACATTATAGGAGATAAGTGTAAAATTGGATAAGCGAAATCCCCCAGTTTTGAGGAACGTTTTTACTTGAGCAGGCCTGGAAACAGGTCTACGGTTTTCTCTTGAGAGGTTTAGCACCCGGCGCTTAAAGTAATTTTTAGGCTTAAGAAGGGGGGCTAGAAAGGGGGGAGGTTAGAAGGGGGACTGGTTAAGTTAGAGGTTGGCGGTTGTAAATTGTAAAAAGGGGGAAATTAGAGTAACTAATTAGTCGACATCGTTGACTTAGTTACATTAGAAATTAACACGCGTTGGTAATATTAGGTGGAGATCCAAAATTCAACTCGAGTTAAGACTGGTACGCTGGTTGGTTTGGTAGGGGGGACCGGATATAGACAGCTTTTGTGATACCCCATAAGATCACTAGTGGGGGGAGGAAAACGCGTGGCAATTAGGTACCAGACATTTTTTTTAGACGAAAGGTAGACATTGGTCACCTTTAAATTTTAGGTGGGCTCATTTTTCTGTTTTTATTATTTTTCTTACTTAAAATTTTTGTTGCATTTTATTGAGGATTTGTGTTTGGTTTTATACGAACAGGTGATCACAAGATACCTGCGCACCTACATTGAAATAGAAACAACCAAAAAGAAGAGGGGGGTCAGCATTTGGCTTTTAAGAGAGGGTTTTTGGGAAAATTTTACTAGAGCTTGAGTGGTGGTACAAGGTACGGTGGTTCAAGAAGACCCTACAACGAGGGAGACACTCCGTGACGAGTATTGGGACAAGACCGAAGAAGTCTTGGGACAGAGCAGTCTTGGGACAGTGGTCTTGGGACAGGGTCTTGGGACAGTGGTCTTGGGACAGTGGTCTTGGGACAGGGTCTTGGGACAGGGTCTTGGGACAGTGGTCTTGGGACAGGGTCTTGGGACAGTGGTCTTGGGACAGTGGTCTTGGGACAGGGTCTTGGGACAGGGTCTTGGGACAGGGTCTTGGGACAGTGGTCTTGGGACAGGGTCTTGGGACAGGGGTCTTGGGACAGTGGTCTTGGGACAGGGTCTTGGGACAGTGGTCTTGGGACAGTCTTGGGACAGTGGTCTTGGGACACTAGTCTTGGGACACTAGTCTTGGGACACCAGCCTTGGGACACTGGTCTTGGGACACTACCCTTGGGACACTAGTCTTGGGACACTAGTCTTGGGACACCAGCCTTGGGACACTGGTCTTGGGACACTACCCTTGGGACACTAGTCTTGGGACAGTAGTCTTGGGACACTAGCCTTGGGACACTAGTCTTGGGACAGTAGTCTTGGGACACTGGTCTTGGGACACTACCCTTGGGACAGTAGTCTTGGGACACTAGCCTTGGGACACTAGCCTTGGGACAGTAGTCTTGGGACACTAGCCTTGGGACACTGGTCTTGGGACAGTAGTCTTGGGACACTAGTCTTGGAACAGTGGTCTTGGTACAAGGGTCTTGGTACACTAACGGAGAGTACTGTGATAGTGACGAATAGTCTTGGGACGGTATAGAAATTGAAGTCAAATTACAACAAGTGCGTTTTAAGACAGAATAAGACAAATCGAAATAGGTAGGGTTAAGACCAAATTAAGGAAAATTTTTCGGAGGTTTTAGAAAGAGAATTGGATAAGGTTTTTAACACGTTGTACAGAATTTGTTACCACAAAAAATATTTTTTTTTACCCTTAGAATAGAATCGTGTATATAATAAAATTGTAAATAGAAGCAGTTGTAAATAGAAATAATGAGGCGGAGTAGGGTACCGGTGCTCGAAAAAAGGTCAAGTGGATCAAACACGAAATATAATTCATCGCTGCGCGGAACGACATCAACGGGCCCAAAGATAACGAAGACGAACTTTTCAGTTAACATGGTCAGCACAAGGAGTACAGCGGAGAACAGGGCGAAAGAGGGCACGGAAGGGGAGCGAGTAGAACCCACCATCGAGATTGATCTAGAGACACCCGATCAAAGTGTGGATGAAACAAGGAAGATGGCGACAGAGTCAACTC